TTTGCAAATTGTGCATTTGCGCTTTGCTCTGCTTCTGCCATTTAGGGTGTATCGATGCCTCCTTTGCAGCGCAAACCAGCGGCATCACAACAGGTCTTTCGGGCTCCCTTTCAATCGGATGGGATATCATTTCCGTCGTAAGTGATGAGGTAAATGCGTACACCATACCATCATCACTATCAACGGACTTCCTATAGTCCCCGTTGAAAGGCTCTCGCACAAGTGATCGAACAAACGTGCGGTGTTTGTCTCGCGCACTCGAGCTTGAACTATCACCACAATTCGAAGGGGAATCGCTCCTGCCGCATGCTAAATTATGGCACACGTATGCGTTGCATCTCGCTATATCAATAATGGCCATAGCTAACTTCTTGTGCCACTTTTGAAACGAGTGGCCATCGGCGAGCGAGAAACGACTGCGGAGCTGGTCGTGACGGTCAACACCTTGCATCGCCGAGTTGTACTCCCCGATACAAGTAGGGGCAGAAAACGCAACCTTTGCCTCCTTGATTCGACGATACACGGTGGACGAAGTAGACGCGTCTGCATTGGAGACTACATTGACAATCGACCCGTCGACCAAGATGCCGCAACTATATGTTTTTCCAAACAGACGCCTTGCTTCGCGAAGCCCCTGGGTTCTCGTCTTTTTTCTTTATCATCGTGAAGCGGGGAAAATGCTGGCTGGAGGAGCGGACCGTGCCGCGTCCGTATAGGCCGACCGATCTCAAGCTTTCTAGTAGTTGACACGACGTGTAAAAGTTGTCGGTGTTCACGATGCGGCCAGAACTCTCCAGAGAAGATATAACCTCAAGTACATGAGATCGAACTTCAGATGAACGCTCGGTCCTTTCAGCAAGCCGTGATAACTCTAACTCTGGAACGACTCCATTTAAGCGGTCCTGAATCTCGCTAGCGCAGTGTAGTTTGAAACTTGAGACGTACCAGGAGGTAGAACAGCAGCAAACATATAGCTTGAAATGGTACTTTCCCGTAGGCTTTTGCGAATTGAAAACAATAAGATGCCTTGCGTATTGGGACCGACACGCAATGCTAGCCTCATCTACTGCCACATTTCGCCCAAGGATAACATGACGCGAACTTCGGAATTTGAGCATGTTGATAAGGGGTCTTATTCGAGCTGCAGGATCTCGTTTGATAACCATTGCGGTAACGTTTGACCGAAAGCACAAATTCTTGCGAATGTAAATGAATCTTCTCCACGTCATGACCAACTCCAAGTTTGTTGACGGAGATCCAGGAAAGATTGCTGCGTCGTCATCATCTACCCAGTAGTTCCTCATTTCGCCTTTATTGAACAGAGCCATATACCATAGAATACCTAAAAATTTCATCATTTCGTCCAGGCTAATTTCTTGAGACGAAGGATTACCCCCAGCATCAGCGTACGCATTCGTACATTGGACCACTTGACTCCAGAAAGACAGAGCAATAAACGCAAAAATGACGCCGTTGCTGAGTGTTCAAAGTATTGGCGGATCTCTTCTCTTAGTTTGGTCAGCGTTGACCCGTCATCGTGAGTGTATAAGCCAGATAGCTGTCCCAGTGACCCAGATTTTGAAAACGTTGTCGGAGGAGCCCGGGCCCTGGACTCCGAGTCGCTTGAAGCGATGTCGATCGGAACGAAGTTCGGATCCGACTTGAGGCGGCGGCGGTGTCTTTGCCGACGGCGTCTGTGACGGGGAGCTTTGCTGCCCACGTCTAGGGATGTCGTCGCTACGACATCCGAGGCACTCGTGGCCTTGTGTGATACTGTTGTACCCACACAGGAAGCGTGTTCAACGCCTTCCTCTTCAGTTAAGGTCTGGGCGACCGCGTGTGGCACTGTGTTACCCACACAGGAAGCGTATCCGACGTCTTCCTCTTCAGTTAAGGTCTGGGCGACCGTGAGTGGAACTCTGTTACCCACTCTGAACACGCTGTTCTCAGTGTTCATGACAGCTGCAGCTGTCTGCGGAACTAAGTTACCCGCCTGTGGACCTAAGTTACCCACTTGGCCGTCGCCTCTTCTGGGCGCGGCCAACATCAAAACATCCTTGGAGTCGTCATATACGTCGACGACTCCCAAGCATCTGCCGGATGCTTTGATACCCTGGCAGCCCTCGCGGGCGCCCCGGGTCCTGACAGAGGTGGGAACATGACTCACCAATGCTCTGTTGGACTGCGCAGGGGAGCTGGCACCGATTGCCTTGCCTCGCCAGTCGAACCAGGGCTCGTGCTTCTCAAGCCAAGGCATGCCCAGGATCATATCATATGGATCCATCGAGAACAGTGAACTGTTCGAGGCTGTCAAAGTCTTCAAACTTGACAGCCAGATCCACTTGGACGTTGGGGGCAGTGACGTTGTAAACGTCGGCCAGTCGCACCGACACCGTCCCGTTGCCCTTGCTTTCTCTCAAAGCTTCGGACAACTTGTTGCTGCTCCGAGCAACCGTCTGGCGGCGTGCAAAATTCTTCGACGCTCCAGAATCAATCAAGATTTTAAAGGGATGATGGTATCTCCGTACACATCCGTGTACT